GCCAGTCAGGGTCTCCTTCAGCTCAGTGTTGTCCAGAGGGGGTCGCCAGCAGGGACTCTGGGGTGGATAGGTGATGTGGAGCTGGTCTGATCCGGGTGGAAATGGCGTTTCCACTGGGTCTCTCTTCACTGCCCCTTTTTATAGGGGCAGACCTTGTGTGACCCTAGTGACAGGAGGCATGCCCAGGCAAGGGTCAGCCCCAGCGTACTGAGCATGTGTGCTTCATGCAGGGATGTGCTGTTTTGGGTGTTTCTAATGGTGGGTTACAAAGGTAGAGTTGCTGGTTCTGCAGGGTCTTTTGTCTTTCAAATGCTGGGTTCTTGGCTCTGTTCCTGGGTGAGACCTGTGGTTCCTGGATGAATCAATGTGAGGTGATAGCTCAAGTCATTACAGGCCATTCAGTAGAGGCCTGCTACCATTGTATTCCGATCACTCTCATTCATCCGGGAACCAATTTACATGAGAGGGGTACGTTAATCATACAGTTGCAACAGAGGGGATGCCTGGGCAGAGGACAGAAGATGGAGGCTTGATATAAACTTGACATGACTTATGCTAACTTGCATATATAGGCCTAAAACAGTAATCACACAATATAAAAGCAGTACAAACATAATAATTATCACTTATAACACAGTGGGTATCAATATTAAAATAGCAGGGAACTTATTTGCAAAAAGGGGAGAAAAAAATTTAACTTAGTACCTAAAATAAAATGTTAAAGCTTATCCTACGTCTTAGCTTACTTATACTTATCTATAAGGAATAGAGAGGGAGAGAAAAAGTCAGAAATGGTTGGGGAAGGGGAGGGAATGCATTTTAAAATAGAGAAAAAAAAGAAAAACTGGGGGTTTTGTTACACATCTAGAGATTATATTTTTTTGTGGGGAGAATTTCTTCTTTTCCCCAGGCAATGGAAGTTTGCTTTATGCCAACATGAAGAGGATTGATATCTCCTTAAAAAATGGCCACTTTTTTGATAGGGAAATATGGAAGATTTGTAGTATGTAAGTATTTAAGTAGCACTTATTCTTAATAACTATTACACATTAAACAAAGAGTTCCCTTTTTCTGGGGGCAGTAAATAAATCACAGTGGATAATAAAAAAAAATCAAAATTGTAAATGGCTTATTATTAATCTCACAATTAATGAGCTACCTAAGACTTAAACTTCATTTAACTGACTTAGTACAGATCTTATCATAAAGGACTTCATAATGTTTTTCAGAGATAAAAAGGGAACAGTCAAACATTATCATGTGCACACAAATTCTGAAAATGAATATTATCTGGCTGAAAATTACTGCTTCAATTCAGTTCCAAAGCTTATTCACTATCATCAGCATAACTCAGCAGGTAAACATTTTCTCCTTGGTTTTTCGATACTCTTGCATGTGTTTTCTTCAATTATACATACTGTTTTTGCTGTAGATAAGGTCTTCTTCTTTCATACAACTGACTTGGAACAACAATTATAAGTCAAGTTTAAGGTTAGTTAACCAGTTTAATGCTCTTGAGGAAAGGGAATGTATCTCTGCAATGTCACTGCCAAATGTGTATAGAGGGCAGAGTGTTGTTATGTGACCCATAGTTTGATCAGAGTTGCCACAGTTACATTCTGCAGAACTCTTAATACACCATCAGTGTATCAAGTGACTGCAGTGGCCATGGAGATAAAGTGAGATTACACGTTAGAGTTAGCAGGTGCTAATTCTAAGGAATATTAGTCTGTGTTAAGAAGTGCTAGTGACCAGTAGCATATTCAGAGTTAAAACCCTCTCTAATGTACACTGCTCAGATCTGCAGCTAAACTAGACCCCATGACTAGGGGTTGCAAGTCTGCTCCATGCCTGCTCTGCTCAACACCTTTCTAGCCACTGCATAGGCTGGGGAGGAAGGGCCCCCCATGCCACTTGGATTCTCCCCTCTGCCTCCCAAATCACTCTGATGTCTCCCATCAACACCAAGATCACTCCCCCCACACCCTAATTGGCCCCTTCAACCCTGGATCACTGCTTTGGCACCACAATCATCATGACAGAAGTGGGGAGGGGGGCCTCCCTACTTGCTTCTGGGCTCCCTGCAGCCCTCGCTGCCCTGTGCACCCAGATCCTGGGCTCTGGAGCTGCCTGGCAGCTCCCCCCCACCCTCACCTTTTCTCCTTTGCCTCCCCTTCAGTTGCAGGGCCTGACAGGGGCTGGATATGGTAACACAAGGACAGCATGGTCTGCAGGAACCCCAGAAGAACCTGGGGTAGGAAGAGTAGGGGGGGATTTTGGAGATTGGGGAGCACAAGGGGCAGCAACCTGGCAGCTCCTCACCCACTCCTTCCTTCCCCCTACCCCATCCCTCCTCAATCCTTCCCACCCTCACCACTTCCTGATGTCCCTCTGCCCCATCTCCCCTATCCCCATTCACTCTTTGCCTCCCTCCTTATTCACCCCATCCCCACCCATCCCACCCCACTAAGATGTTCCTAGCTATCAGTCCAGGGCAGTAGAGTCCTGGATGATAGCTAGTCCTCCCCAGCAGTAGTGCCTCCTGGGTTACTGGAGGACTGCACCAGTGAACACCTAAGAATTAACTCAAGCTAGGTAGCACAGTTTAAAGATAATCCTTGCCCAAAGTGGTGTAACTTTAAGAAAGCTCAAGAGTTCTTAGCACTTGTTAATGAGCCTTACCATGTGATCATTCAGGGCATGTTTACATGTGTTCCTGACATGGTGCCGAGCACTTTTATTTAGCAAGCATGCTAATTAAAAGCACCCGGCGCTGCATCAGGAGTAGGTGCATTAGTGTTGCTGCACACATCAGTTCTGAGAAAATGGTGGTGGTGCACTTTGAACTAAAGCACATGGAACGTGTTTAAGTTCAAAGTGCATCACTGCCATTTTCTCAGCACTGACGTGCACTACACTGCTGATACACGTGATACACAAGGCTGCCAGCGTGAGTTAATTTATGTGCTTGAGCAGATTCAATTAATGAAGTCTGTGCCAATGCATTGGATTTCCAGTGCATTGGAGCAGACTCCCTACATGTGTGTAAGTGCCCTCAAGGTTTAAGTGCTCTTAACCTTGATCTAATTGTAATGTGGAATCTCAACCACAGATTGAGATGAAGATGTCTTTATCTTTATGCCATGAGAACTCTGATTAGACTCAGGTTGCTGTGCACCTTGGAGTTATAGTGAATCTTTTTTAATACTAATTAGTTTAAATAATGGTAATAAGGATAGGTTTTTTTTACTTTTTAAGTATCTTTCTTTGGAACCTAATCTACAAAATTCACAGACACGCTAATATGGTATTACAGTCTTAGGGCTTGTGTACATGCCATGATTTTTGTCCTTTCATGCACTGCAACTGCATGTCTGTTTTCACGAGTGGGACTTCCCAATGCTTTAAAAGTCTTCATTATGTATTAAACTAAAACTCCTCAGACAGAGTTCAGTTTGGCTCACCCGGACTTAAAGTGTTACATCCATAGATTTGTTGCATGCAAGCACAAAGGCACTCAAAGATGTGTAATGAGCCTCTTTGTCCACCAGCTGGCACTGCAACTTTTTTGTAGTTCACCCCCTCAAATTGCTTTTGCTTTCAAATTGCTTCCACTTTTTTAAACTAACAGTCCTCAAACATAGCTTATTATTTATTTTCTTGTGTGGTTTGCCAGCTCACTGCTTCCACAGCTGTGTAGCAGAGCATGGGCAAGGAGGTCCTAGGCTGGGGGGGGCAGTGCTGGACTGTCCCACTCTCCTGCAGCACTGGTCAGAGACCCAGCTTAATTTGAAAACCTAGTGTATGTAAACATAGATGAGATGCTCCAAGGCTTAATTCATTTGAAAACCTAGTGTGTGTAAACACGGATGCGACACTCCAAAATAAACAAGTTTAAATTTTATAAACCTATTTAATTTAATGAGGATTAAAACCCATGGTGTGTACAGGCACCCTTACAGAACTACCCTACTTTATCTTCCATTCAACTATTAGTATCTTTTCTTAATATGATTCTGCTAATCTGACCCTAAATATATATACTCTGATAACATTGACTGTCATTACAGTTGTAAGCACAGAGCAGTGCCATGTTGAGATATGCAAGTTACCTCTGAACAAGCTAGTTTAAGTACTGGAAATATGTGCTAACATATGCTACTCCATGCACTGATTAACTGGTTTCTCTGCAGGGCTTCATAGTTCACGTTAAGTGACATACTAACACAGATGTGATACTTCTGCTGCTTGTGATAGCTTATTTCAAGTCTAGGTATCTCTGCATGGCACTCTGAATTTGGTCTTCTCCCACTGATTTTGTTAATGCACATGTGTTAGCTGCTTTGACCTTCCATTTAATTAAGAGAAAGGTTATATATTGACTGTCTCTCTTGTAGGTATTGTTACAAGGCTTCGACATGCAGTGTCTACCAAAGGGAATACAATTCCATCCACAGCACCCTTAGGTGATGGTATGGAGACAACTTTTCCTTTTAAAATTGTTGTCAGTTTGCCACTAATGTAATTTTTTTAAAGCAAAAATAGAACAGCTTTGATTCTCATGGCATCACATCTTGACCTTATGCTCTTTGGTGGCCATCTGGTGTGTGTAAGGGGCAATTTCAAAGCTCCCTGCTTCACAAGAAATTTTTGGAGGGGTTCTCTCTTGGTGGTCAATTGCTCCTCTAGTTCAGTGGTCTCCAAACATTTTTGATCGTGCACCCCATCAGTAAAAAATTTTTGAGCATGCACACCCAATATATGTATTAACCGGGCACATGTAAACTGCAATAGAAGTTTTAATATTTTCTTCCTGCACCCCAATGGATCATCTTGCGCACCACCTGGGGTGCACGCACCCCACTTTGGATACCACTGCTCCAGCTTCCTTGTGTGTAGCAGAGTGACTTGTTTCATGAAGTCATGCAGTATGGGCTAACCAAAGCATGCAGCCTCATCCAAGGGCTGGTGTATGTTTGGGAGTGTCGTGGGACATGGTTCTTCTTCGTGACAGCCCTGTGTCAGATCAAGTGCATTTCTCTTGCACCTGCAAAGCCATGATCGGGTCCCAGATAATTTCTTTCTTTTTTCTTATTTTCCTTTAAATTTTGTGGTAGAATGGTATTTGTTTTCAAAATTGATGGAAAAATGTGAAGTTCCAGTAGGTATTGTTGGATTTTAAAAAAATCCTTCTCAAGTCCCATGAGCTTTATTTAGTTTGGTAAATTAACATAAAGTCAATGTGCTAGAGAGCAGTGAATCTTTGTTGTAAATCCTAACTCAGATGTGGCAACAAATGACCTTTTGGTGGTATTTTACAGATACAATGTCCTTTTGTAGCTCAAACTCCAACCCAGGAACATCTTACTTTATTGCTTACTACATGTTCTATTATTAATTTGCAGTAAGCTTACTGTAAAATAGTGCACAGTAAGCCTTCCTGGGAGCATGTCTATATGTGCTCCCGCTTGGCAATTTGCTCCCACCTTACTCTTCCCTCCTGCAGCAGCCAGGGGGAGATCCAGGCTTCCACCAGTGCTAGCCTGGCAGCTGACAAGGGGCACAGGCCCAATCCCAGTGGACATGGGGCCAAGAGAGCTCTGCTGGCTGCAGCAGCAACTGTCTCCTGGCCTCGGGAAGGGACCTGATGTATATGAGGCTGAGACAGAGCTGCCACTGCAGCAGGCAGATTCTCCTAGCCCCATGCCCATTGGGACACACAGCTGCCAGCAATCCCCCTACCCAGCAAGGCTTCCCTGATGGGCATGGGGCCAGGAGACAGCTGCTGCTGCAGCTGACAGATCTTTCCTGGCCCTGTGCCCACTGGGATTGGCCGTGGCCCCAGGACC